GCCAGCGGAAAGGATCATTCAATACTATGGTCCAGCTACTTGGGAGCCAAACGTGGTTGGGAGGGAGCCCACCTACCTAACCAACCGCATTATTAGACTTCAGGCTGTAGTAGAGATAGTTACCAACAAAACTGCCGCAGCCCTACGCCTAATCGGGAATCAGTTGACCCAGCTACGCACCACGGTACTGCAAAACCGTTTAGCTCTTGACTACCTACTTGCTAGTGAAGGTGGAGTATGTAAGAAGTTAAATTTGTCTAATTGTTGTGTTGAAATCGATGATAACGGTGAACTGATAAAAAATTTAGCAGATGACATGGAAAAAGTAGCCCATGTCCCTGTCCAAACATGGAACGGGTGGAGCTTTGATTGGCTGACATCTTGGCTTCCTCAGTTTGGGTGGCTAAGAGGTGTGTTGCTGGCCTTTTGCTTATTAATGACAACACTTTGTTTGCTTCCCTGTATCATACCCTGCATCATGGCCCTCCTGAAACGAACTGTTCAGTCAGTCGTCAACCGTGAAATGCTTGTGCATTACCAAAAACTAGCAATCACGGACAATTACTAAAAATAGAGTTAGAAAGCATCTTGAGGGGGGAAGTTGTGGTAAAAATACATTATGACCTGGGCCTCACTTGAGTAATAGCTGTATGAGTCCCTCATGAGGCCCTCATGATCCCTTGTGTAGGAAGCACAAGGCCTAACGTCTGAGTTGTGGGTTTCTTTTTCCTTCCTGCTTGCTCTGCATTTTGTAACCGTACTTGTCTAATGCCCTGAAGTTACACTAAGGTATAAGGTTACTAAAAGACACTAACTTTGCCGCAGTTCCCCTTTTCCTCTGCGCATGCGACAGAACTTTGCCACAGTTCCCCTTTTCCTCTGCGCATGCGACAGAACTTTTTGCCGCAGTTCTGCTTTTGAAATACGCATGCACTAAACTTAACAGGAGATATTAACCAATAGCAAACTAAGCCTAGCCCATGAGATAAGACATAACAACAAGGAAATTGTGGTACTGCCAATAGTTGTATGACACGTTGTAGCCCTTTGTTTATGTAAACTATAAAAGTGTAACCCCGAGAGAAATTGGGGGGTCAACACTGCTTTGAGCATCAGCTCCTCTGTTGACATTGCTTGTGCAATCAATAAACTCATGATGGACTCACCCTGGGTGTGACTCTCTCCTTGAGGTGGAATTGGTCTAGCCTCCAGGGGCACGAAACTAGCCGTTTGGGCAACATAAGGATAAAATGAGAATTTCCAAAAGGCAAGCGAAGTTAGAAGTAGTAAAGAATACTAAAAAAAAGAACCAAAACATTCCTTAGCAATATAAATAATGGGCAATTTCCATCCCAAAATCCAGTAGAAACAGGCATATGAAATTATAGGTCCAGTTACACATATTTTTAATAAATGTAGTCAAGAGTATTACCAGAAGACTAGAGAACAGCAAATGTGGTGCTTGTAGGTAAAAAGAGGAGGGGAAATGTTATGTCCAAGTACTGGCCTGTCAGTTCAACTCAAGATGATGCAAAGCTTTAGAAGAAATGTTGAAGGAAATAATATATACAGGTATGGAAATAAATATAAAATGGGGTAAAATACAATGTGGGTTTAGCCAAGATAACACATGAAAGACTAACGTGATATTTTTTACTGACAATATAAATCATTTTCTAGACAAAGGAAAAACAGTATCTTTCATCTGTCTGGAATTTATTAAAGCATCTACAGCATAACCACATGGAACAATGAAGGAACTGACCAGCAGGAAGACAGCAACAGGAAATGCTGGAAGGGGAAGTATTGGTGGTGAAGCAGGATGATTACCAGAGCGTCTAAAGCAGAGGTGGGCAAAATTCAGCTTGCAGGCTGCATCCGGCCCGCAAAGGGATTTTTGCCCAGCCCACAATGCGGTGGCCAGACTCTATTTTCTGGCAGCCCTAGTAGCGGCAACTCCTATGACTGCCTCTTCTGGACCTGGGCACACTGGGCACACTGCCTCATAGGTGCTGACTTTTATTTTTGCCAGGGGGAGGCCTAAAATGATGCCCCTTTGCCCCCTTGTGGCATGGCTGAAGCAGAGCCAAATGGAGCCTGTGGGGGTTGCATACAGGCTGCCCACTGCAGGCTTGGGGCTTCCCACCCTGCTGCTCTTCCCCTGGGAGCCCCATGCTGGCCATACCACCATGGTGAGGTGTCCCGTGCCTGCCCAACTGCAGTGGGGGGCACAACTCTGCACCACTGCCCCATGGCTTCTGGGTGGGCAAGGGGCGCCTTGCCATGGCAGTGAGGCTGATGTGGGGCTCCCGGGGGAGGGAAGCAACCCACATCTGCCTCTGCCCTATGCACAAATCTGTGCCCCACCCCATGCATGTCCTCTTCCCTGGAGTGTGCACAGCAGCAGGTAGCCTCCCCCCACCCTCTGCCCCTTGGATAAGCCATCTGTGGCTCTGTCCTATTCCCCACCCCAGCCCCAATCCCCATGTACCGTCCTGGGTGGGCAGCTCCCCCAGGCTCAGCCCCTGTCCCACTCCCTCCCTTACCATGGGGGCCTCAATCTGCCCTCTCCCATAGATTTACCTGCAGACAGCTGGGGGAGCTGAGGCTCTTCACCACTGCCTGGGGCCGTATTCCTGGCCCCATGCAGCATGGAGCCAGGGCCCAGGGAAAAGCTGCAATCTGCTACCCACACACCCCTATGACAAGCACTGGTTCTGTAGTCAGGGACATGCAGGGAACAGATCGCGCCTCTGACCCCGACCTCAGGCTGTCACTGTCCCAAAATCCAGGCCCTGCCCGCCCACGCACCCCGCCTGAGCAACTTCCAGCTGTCCTCCATGGCCATCCACCTTTAGTCACATGAGCAGACAGCGGACTTTAGTTCGGGAATATTTTGTTATCACCTCTGCTGCTTTTGTATCATACATTTAAAAAAATTAATAACTGTAAATAAGTTAGTAGAGGACTACAAAAATACACCCACAGAAAAGAAGTCATAACCCATGAAAACTTTCTTTTTGGAATCCATTATGGATGACTACTCTTAAAAATGTATCCTTTTATTTCATTAATTGCACAAGCATCCATTTTCTGCTTGTGTGTACTAATCAAACGTTGCTCCAATACTTTGATTGGAAAGAATTCTCACTTAGGACACTTGTCAGGCCCCTTAAATACTTTAATGATCTTAGGTGTCACATACATGGGAAGTGTATGGCATGTGTGGGTCCATGCAAAGGCACATGATACATAAAGGTATTTAGGAACATGCACAGGTATATGGTAAGTGTGCATGTGTGTCTACAGGTGGACGGCACATGTGTGTCCATAAGAACTTAGGAGTTCAGTATCTGGGCCGTCTGGCCAATAGCTGATGTTCCACGAGGACCATAAAAGAAGCTCTGCAACAGGTAGTTGTTGTGAGATAATGTACCTCCTACGCTAGTTCTCGTCCCAATTCTTAACCATTGAAGATTGGCTTAAGCCCCAAATCGCAACATTTAATATTCCTTCTAACCTTTCATTTGTAGCGTTAATCACTGTAATTCTGGCTAGCTTTGTACTGAATACTAATAAACTCCTTGATGTAATAGCATCGGGTGGCAATGAGTATAATTCTCCTTTGTGCAGGAAAATATTTCTTTTTTGTGTGTGTGTGTGTCCCTTTTGGATTGGAACGGAATATCCTCCTGTTCTTACATTACCGGACAAGTGAGAAACAGGCTCCGGATCCACTTTTTCTCTACCATTGACTATTTGATAGACTTTGATCAGTATCCCTCAAATTAATTCCCTTTCTAAAATGAGCACTCCTATCTTTTTTATCTCTGTTCGTTGGAGAGCTTTTCCACATCCCTGTTCATCCTCCTCACCCCTTTTTCTGCAATACCCTTTCAGCTATAGGGCGACCAAGACTACACGAACCTCCTCGTGGATGGGGAACTACTGACCTCTATGCCCTCATTATCATTTTACGTAGGGGGCGGGGCGGGCCGGGCCGAGCGGTGATTGACAGCTCCGCGTCTCCTCCCAGAGGCCCCGCCCACCCGGCTCGGGCCTGGCGGGGGCAAAACGAACGGACAAAGGCGCATGCGCGGAGTACGGCGTGTCCCCCCCCACCCCTCTCCAGCTCGGAGCGAGCTCTTTCCGGCGCGCTGCGTGTGACGCACTCGGTCGGCGCCGGGCTGGCCGGCGGTCGGGAGAGCGGCAGGAGATGGCGGAGTATCTGGCCTCCATCTTCGGCACCGAGAAGGACAAGTCAGTGGCGGGACCCCGGCGGCGGTTGGGCTCGGGGCTCGTGACGGAGGGCGGGCAGAGCGCCTCTTCCTCAGCGCCGGTGCAGTGTGGGGAACGCATCTCGCGTTGCTCCCTAGCTCCGTGGGGGCGGGGGGGGGATCACTAGGATGTGGCTGTGGCGTGCGCCTTCCTCCCCCC